AAGCTGACTTTGGCAGTCTATTGGGATAAATCATCATCAGAAAGAAAATATGTTTTTAGGCATGTGTTTCGCTGAAATCGACCTTTCCTATGTCGCCAAACTTCGGAAAATACAGCCTCTTCTTACCAGTCGACGATCTGATCTCTATATGTTACACGTCAATGAGGAAGACGAAGGTTTGAATTTATTATCCTTTTGAGTATTTTATCAGAGAATAGCTAGGGGGGGGGGGCAGGACAGAGACGTTGTAAAATAAAAATTTGATAATGTATGCTATATGCAATTCATTACAGAACGCTCTAGATTTGCTCAGTCTTGGACCATCTTTTTCGATCGCACGAGGGGTTGGACCCTCTACATATCGTCAAGTAGTAACAGGACTCCAGAAGCTGAGAGATCAGCTCAGAAGGAATGCGAGGCGCAACGAATTGCAGAACATAAACGCAGATTCTGAGCGATCTATGCTTACGCCGATTCCTTTCCCACGTTCGTTCTATAAGGAACCAGAACCTTTTGCTGAAGTAGACATTAAATTTCGGGCTCTCTCGTCAGGGGTGCTTGAAGTTCTCAACAGGCACAGGCACGAAAGGTTCTCAAACATTACGAACGCACAGTGGGAAGGATTTCATGAGATACGGGAACGCATAGCAAACAATGAAATCCGCCTCTCTGTAAGCGACAAAGGAGGAGAGTTCGTAGTTTGCCCTCGTATACTAGATCGGGAAATTACTGAGCTCCACCTTAACGACACGTCTATTTATAGTCGCACTACAGAGAAAGCGTTTCTCATACAATGTCACAGGTTGAACGCATCATGGATATCAATTGGAAAATCAGCAGGATTAGCCGAAGGATTAATCAAAAGATTGAAGTTGGATACTCCTTCGTGCCCCGTGTTTTATAGCCTGATCAAAACACACAAGCTGTCGGATGGAGACGAGCACTCGGTTGATGCTAGCAATTACAAAATAAGACCTATAATCAGCTGTGTGGGTGGACCGAACAGACCGCATTTCATGGTTTCTTACAAAAATTGTTGGTCAACTCATCCGATATGTACCCTCACACTTACCAAACACCAGAGATTTTCTTGATCGCCTACGTTCTTGTAGATTTCAAGAAAACTGTGTGGTAGAGTCATTTGATGTAACTGCGCTTTATACGAACGTGAACAATAATGAAGCTTTGCAAGCGCTCTCTGAAATGTTAGATGAGCATGGTGCAGAAATTGTAACGTTTGGATTGAGCAAAGTGCACATTATGACTCTGATTAAGGAATGCCTGAACTGTAACATTTTCAAGTGGTGTGGACAGTACTTCTCACAAAATCGGGGGCTTGCAATGGGGCAACGTCTAGCACCGGTCCTAGCTATCTGCTTTATGGGTAGAATAGAACACCGGTGATAGCACGCATGCCCATTATGTACTGCCGATATATTGATGACTGCTGCGTAATTACTTCAACACAATTTGAAATGGATGAATTATTCAGCATACTCAATCAACAATCACAGTACATAAAGTTCACACGAGAAGTCCCGCACAATGGTTGGCTACCTTACTTGAACACACAGATAAAAATCTCGAACTGTACGTATAGTGTGAAGTGGTACAGGAAAAGCAGCTCAAAGAACATCCTACTCCATGCGAAGTCTGCACACCCCAGAGCTGTAAAATGTGCGGTTGTTCGAAACATGCACAGAACAGCAGTTGGAGTGTGTACAGGCGACGTGGAGCGAGATGAGTCACGAAGGCTAGCTTCCGAGATTGCAAGAGCGAATGGTTATGGAACGAGGAACGAAGAATCAGGCTCTCAGAGAAATGCCGCGAGAAATCGCGAAGCTTCACGAGGGCGTTCCGCGAGAAGTCGCGAGGAGTCACGAGGGCGTTCCGCGAGGAGTCGCGAAGAGAGATGGCGCACCTCCAGTTGCCTTTCATATCGGATAGAATTAGCATGGCTATACGGCAGTGCATTGCACGGGCGGATCTAGCTGATGAAGTCGTTTTGATTAATATACCAGGAGACAATCTTAAGCGTCAGCTAATCCGCAACAGACTCTATGACCGCGCGTGCACCACGAATCACTGCGTTGTTTGCCCATATGGAAGGCAAGGAGACTGTGCGCAACGAGGGATAGTATACCAACTTCAATGTTCAACCTGTGACGAACTTTATATTGGAGAGACGGGCAGGATGCTAGCGTGCGCATTAAAGAACATATGGCAGGAAAAAGGCGCGGAAATCTGCTTACTCCACTTGGCAAGCACCGAGTAGAGGGACATCAGGGGTAACGATTTTGAAATCAAATGCAAAATTCTAGCCTACGAAAACGACATCGGTGCTAGAAAAATGTTAGAGGCGTTTTATATCCGCGTGAAAAATCCAAGACTGAACAACCGTAATGAATGCATGGCCATTACCAATGAATTCTTGCCTTTCATTCCTTTATGTGGACTGTGAGATCACCACATACGACACGTAGGACGCTTACTGTCCATGGTGTCTCATTTTATTCGCTCACTAACAAGAAGAGGAGGCTGCAAAGACTGGTGGACTCGCCACAGGTTAGTTCGCTCGCTGGGATCGTTTATTTTGTACTGTTTCGCTTTTCCGGGAACTCAGTAAGATTAGGCGCCTTACCGGGTGAGCTACAGAGCTAGGACTTCGAACCAGTTTCAGGTCCTGAAGACGACGAATTGTCGAAACGTTGACCAATAAACGTGTTCCACCATAACAACCTGTATGGCACAGAAGAAACAACACAATTACTCTCATTGTATCACTCCTTTTAGAGAGAGGAACTAGTATTAATGTTTGAGATAGAAATAAGTAGTCCTATAACCATCCCTGATTCCCATGTATTGTAAGTGTGTGAAAAAGCCCCCGATTTCCATTGGGCATATAATGTGATGTGCAAAACGAGCATAGTGGAAGCCACGGAACCACGTCGGCCAAATCGCGATTGCATGATCATGCCGTCGCTATAGCAAAAGTGCAACCGCGCCTGGCGATGGTTCCGCCCGCGATCGACAGGCCGATATCAGACTTTGCGAATCGAGCGAATCCATTGATGCGCGGAGGTTGAGCAGAGCACGTGACGGGCCAGGGTCGGTCCTATCGTTGCTACTTTTCAAAAAGTTTTTACGACCCCCCTCCCTCATGAAATGTTTCATACGACCCCCTCTTTCAAAACAATTTTTACCCCAAAAAATTACCGTCGAGCGGGGGGGGGGGACGGGCCCCTGCCGGCTGACTGTGTCGACCGTGGGTGAAGCACCAATGGCCGTTGCACTTTAGCAATATCAACTGTGCTTTGTGCAATCGCTATTGAGCTGTCACGGTTGCGCTTTGCGAGCGGGAAAAAGCTGAGTTGGAGGGTATTGTGCCCAAAATTAGCGAGGTGATTTGAGACAAGGAATCTGCCCGTAAGGTTAGAGAATTACCGTCGAAGTCATAGGCACTCTGAAAGTGTTAAGAGTATGACATCGGCTTAACTATAGCTCAAATTTGCTTTCGGTTTTTGCCGAACGATTCTCTGAACTTAGGCCGATGTCAGACTTTGCGAATCGCGCGATTCGCTAGCGTCTGCGGTCGCGTCGCGGCCAGTGAATCACTCAATTGGCTGGTACCGCAACGCGACCGCGGACGCTAGCGAATCGCGCGATTCGCAAAGTCTGACATCGGCCTTACGAGGGATCCTTCTCACTGTGGCATCCCACCGTGGTGCCCTCTACATTCCCTGTCCCACTCGGCTCGCATAAGAAGAGCCGCAGAGCAGCAATGCAGTGGGTATGGTGGTCTAGTGGATAGCGCTCTTGCTTCATAGGGTGAGGTCATATGTTCGAATCCTTGTCGGTAGCAAACTTTTGCATTTTTTCAAGGCTGCTCATACGAGCCCAGAAAGCGTTTATAATTGGTTATTCTGTTATGCGTTCTGTTCGTTCGTTCTGTTTTTACGCGAGCCAAGTGGGATAGGGGGATGTAGAGGGCGCCACAGTGAGATAGCCACAGTGAGAAGAATCCCTCGTAACTTCGTTCAGAGAATCGTTCGGCAAAAACCGAAAACGGATTTGAGCTCAGCGTCGCAAGACGCGTGCATCGGACTACACCTCATTACAAATGGCCGGACCGACCAATTGACCATTCCTTGTCAGTGCAACTCCAGCATATTTTAGAAAATTCTCCACTGATGTTTGCTGAGTTCCCGATCGCTCCCGAATCAATATTCTATCGATCAGCGTATTCGTTTGCATTTGTCAACGTGAAACCTGTTGTGAACGGGCGTGAGTAGTTATTTTGCTCAAGATATTTGTTCTGCTCTATTTTTTACTCACGAGTTCGCGTTGTAGATGTGCTGGTATGCCCAAAGCGTATTTGTAATCATCTCACCGATCTCACCGATGTCGAGACAGCTGATGTGTTCATTGTTTCCAAAAAGGTTCAAAGAATGATAGAAAAGGTCAGTTTCCCAACTGTAAATGTGTTTTTTAGTTGATGTTTAGCTTGACTACTTCCCGTCGACATTGTGCCAGTGCCTCACAATCTCATTTCAGAATTGCTACCCTGATTTTAGACTAGGAACTATGCGCTTACTCCTGATTCAGGGAACTACGTTATCAGATCTTCAAAGCACTTCAGAAAGAAAACTCGTACAGCGTCTCCAGAGCGCGGCACAGTGCCGTCCTCATATGCATGAGTGGTCGATATCTAAGGTGTTAGAACTTCTGTCCGTTCATTTTCGCGGCCCCGTAAAAAGAAAATGTCTAGAGAATCGTTGTCAGGGAATGTATCCAGGATTGAAAGCATGCCGGATCACATTGCTGTGGCTTTTTATTGGAACAGAGAATGCGACTAGCATTGAGATGCGACATAGGCCAGGAGTGCTAAGAAAAGGAAAAAGAATTGCCGTCAAAACGCTATTGGTTGAGAATGCTCATTCACCTTCCTAGCTATGGCCATGCTGTGCTAAGGGAAACGAGAGGACTAGACGTGGAAAATGGAGATATGAGACGAAGAGAGCAGCAATCACAAACAGCACTGATAAGAGAAGGAAAAGTCTGGCAGACTTGGGAAGCTCACTTTTGCAAGGAGCCCAATCGCTCTTGTCGTTGGCTATCCGTGCCGGGGAACACACACATTTGTGATTATGCACGAACAACAAATGAACCATTTTAGCACCACTTGTTTTCGAGTTCTCTCGGAAACCTTCCTCTATATAAGCACATGACTTGAGTATGGTTCAGTTTATGTGTCCTGAATAAAGCTTCTTCTGTACGACTGCCGACGTAACAGTCCTTTATAGGGGTCTATGACCTACACATCGAAAGGAAGCGGCACACGACCTCTTGCCTAGCAGGTTATGCTTTTAATGGTGGGTCAAGATGCGACATACGATATCAAGACTAGGACGGAACGTCCGATTTGGGAAGTCCGGTTTGATGAAAGGAAATTTCGTAATAAACAAAAAATCACTATATGGGTTGACAAAAAAAATCTAAGATGTAAGCAGTCTAACTGGAACATACAACTCGCGATCCCGAGGGGATTGATCAATCTTTGTTCGTTAATTATGGGGGTAGAGAAAGATTGTAGCAGCGAGATGAGAGGCGTGAAGTAGGCCTAAGGAAAAAGGAAAGAAGAACGAGGACGGAAGTGAGCATGCGAGGCGACGAAGCGTCATACTATTTAAATACGGATGGGGCCTTAACCACTTGACTTGCCGCCAAATACGGAGTCGACCTCCAAGGGGCATCCTTCGCTACAAAGGCGGATCAACATACTGTACTGCTCTTCTATGAGCTTTATTCCAGCCACACTTCAGATAGCCCCTTCATGGGGTTGCTGAAAATGAGAATTTGTGAAAGTTTTTTCTGCTGAACTGGAATGCGCCGAGAGACTGCCGATTGATTCATTCACTTCCGAAGGAGCCGGCTGAATGGTCAAGAAAGCATAAAAATAGGCGTTCACTCGAAGGTCCCTCCAGTGAGAGTGTGAATTGTTCTTGAGAAAATATGTACAGTGCTTCTTTCCTGCACAGTGAAAAGCTACATATAGGTGGAACGTACTTTAGATGGGACGAGCCAAACTCCAGCGCGTTAACCTGATCTACTTGCGACAAGGTATTCAGAAGCGGCGACGTCTGTCGCTCCTGTGATCTCATCATTTCCCTTTCTACTTCTGTATGAGAAAACATTTCTTCATTTTCTTACTTCTTCTCTTTATACTTTTTCTTTCTCCCACAGCATTTGTCGGGCGCAGTCGCAGGGTCCGCTGTCCTTGTCAGCCGTCGCCGCTTCGTTGTGTCTAGGGGGGGGGGGCGCATGCAGTGGCCGTAATTTCACTTGGTCCTTCTCGATTACATCCTCCCACCTCTTTTTTGGGGCTCCTCGCAGGTCGGACTTGCCTTGCGCTGTACGAGCCTCGCCATCTCTGTCGCGGTGGCCTTGTGACTATGCAGACTTTGTCCATACTAAGCGTGTCATGTGCGTCGCTCTAAACTTACAGCTGGCACAGGGGCAGGTTCGCGAGGTAACCGACTCTGACATACTCGTTACTGAACGCTAGTTCCAGTAAGCGTCAGCGCAGGCCATCTCCGGCATCTCATTCGCGAATTCAAGCTGCCTTTTCGTGATTTCTTGGATTTCATGGGGCCAGCAATCACTTTCCGGTGTTAGAGGCATTTCGCAAAAGGCCTATACCATGTCGGTTACACCTTCCTTTTAGAGCGCATCTGAACACTTTTCAGGGTCGATGAGGGTTGTTCCAAGTGAACTCCCGATATATCATCCATGCCGCAGTTGATCCTCCCATTTACATTCAGCCGTCCCACCTGGCCAGGACTTTCTGCCATTTCTGCACCTTGGCCTGAAGTTCTTCTCTGCTATCCGCTATCAGGGCGATGTCGTCAGCGTAGAGGATGGTCTTCAGTGGTCCTTCCATGAGCCCCTTCACCATGGACATCTAGTGTTAGGAGGAAGAGGAACGGGCTCAGAGCTGACCCTTGGTGCACCCCAACCGTGATGTTTACCTCTTTTGTTAGGCCATGTTGCCGCCTTCATTTCTCTCGTTCAATTTGGGGTAGCATTCTGAAGATTGAACATGTTGTATAACTCTTGTAATTTGCTGTGCATGGAATGTAAGCATTCACTACTGATCATCATCGAAGTAGTGGATAAAGGATGGGTACACACTGACTATGAGTCGGTGCAGCGTTGCATTGTACACGGTTGGCAAAAATTGCGGTAACATAAAGTAAGCATAGATAACCATTGAGGCCAAGAAGCACAAGTGAACATCAATAATGGATTTACGGGAAGTCAGTATACAGCATTACTTTCTAGACTGGCCGCAGCAGAGCTGGTACATGCGAAGTCACTCAGGAATAGGGCGTCCGTACTGTGTGGATATAGGTGGCTTCGAACTCGTCCTAGGCTCAGGAATTCACCAATGTTTCACTCATGCTTAGAGCAGACCATCATTTTCAGCATACTCCGCGCAGAGTGATCCATTGGATTTAAATTGAGAGAATTCGGTTCCTACTCGTTAAGTGTCATGAATTCTGGGGAATTCCGCTGCACCAATTGAAAAATATCCGCCTTTTATGCAAACGGTCAATCCTGCTAAAATGTCCGATGGCTTTTCAGAGGTCTTCTCGGCTGATGCATCAATTAAATTCGAGATGGCTCGCGAGCGCTCTTGTTACTAAAATTTTCACCCTCCTTGTACAGGCGACTAAATGATGCATGATGCTTACATTAATGTGAATATGTATTCCAGTTCCACAATGTCACTTCGTCGACGGTTTGTATCCAAGACGGGAAGGAAGCAGGACGGACTGTCGAGGTAAAATATTTTTTGGTGGCTCTATTGAAATAAAGGCAATTTTTCCCCATCCATTTCGTCGACGAACAACTTTGTGGTGATGATGTGTCGCATATGCTCACGTTCACCATGGTGAATGTCGTAAGAACATCGACTTCACCTTCATCATTCGTAAGTGATCACGCACGCCGTTCTATCCTCTAACTCCCCCGGTTTTAACCTAATATTAAGTACCACCAGCAAGTGACAATTTTTGGCAGAATCATTCCGTCCTCAGTGGGCGAGCATGAGGCAAGTGAACTATAAGAGCATGAGAAAAGTTACTCAGCGGCTCAAGTAATAGTCCCTGGCATTATCAAACGTGATGACCATTCCAAATTCTTGATCATTCTGGATGGGTTATAATGAAGCATGGAAGCACCAATAAGCGACATAGTGTCCTCGGGGCAGGAAAGTCAGCCCACGCCAGTCACTCAGGCAGCAGTGCTGGAGGAGCCCGTGGTTTCCAAAGCACCTCTGCCAAATGCGCTTCAGAAACCCGTAATTATCCGGAATCATTTCTGGCTTTATTCCACTAATGAACATACCGAAGGAAGAAATCATTCAGTTGTCGGTTTTATTATAACATAACAATTTGGAAACCACATTTTGAAAACCGTACACGCTGATCACTGACTTGTGCTAGGACTTGCTTGCAAAAAAGTAACATAAGGTACGAAGGCGTCAAGAAGTGTCAATGAGAAGACAAGATTCTGTCAAAACATTGCCATTGTATAGAAACTATTTTTCTTCATATGCTGAACAGCGGGGGGAAGCATTGTTTTTCAGCAGACATGACCTTTTCGTCTTCGCAGCGACTTCTTGTTGGGCAAGCTGAATTCTCAAATCTGGAATGTATATAAGGTAGCCGCAAAAATGTTCACCGCGGAAATTCATCTGTATTAACTTTTTCCAACTTCAACAGTGAATATCGATGTGTTCTTGCTTGTAGTTCTTTAAATCTATAGCATTTGAGATATTCGGAAGAGGGAACATCCAGCTCAGCTTGAAGAATTTTTGGTGAGAGCAACGTATTAAGCTGAAATATTGTTCTAAGCGCCATTTTGATGCTCCAGAATATTTCGGCTGATGGCCTGATCCGTTTAGTTTCGTTGAAAGAAAAGCTACAGAAATGAAGCTTCTGGTTTCTGATATTAACATTCACTGGAATTGAGATTCATTCTTGTGATACTTTACGGATGTATATGGAGAATTCGAGTCGTCGTTTGCGTTGTTCCCTGAACGACCACCTTTCTTTATCGTTTCTTTGATAATCACCCTAAAAAGACGCAAAATCGCAGCACGAGAACGATCTTTGGGGGAGCAATCGATGCAAAAGGATATGGTGGGAGATATGAATTACGGTCCCCTATTTTGCTCTTCTCTTAGAATTTATTAGCAGATGCTGCTTACTGAGCATAAATGGTTGGCTTTTGGGACAAATCACGGGGGAACAAGATGATCAGGAGAAATGAACACGAGCTCAGTTCAGTTACGCAACATACGCATTAAATTTCTCATCTTTTGTTAGCTGCAATTCAACTGGACCACAAATGAGGGAATGGGTGAAAATTTTTGCATAGTTTATTAGCAGAC